GTGATTGTTCCTCTTACCTAAAAGTCTTAATTTTTTTTTCTATAAGTAGTCCATAAACTTTTTTATATTTTTAGAGCTCCTGGATACCAAAAACTATAAAGAAGTAATTTTTTTTGTGACTTTCAAATCCGGAGTCCTTTTTGGGACTTTGCATCCCTGATACAATCACATTGAGAATATAACAACTTAAAAAAACGATTTTATTTCTGAAAAGATTTGACTTTAGAAAATATATTAGTCGATTTAGTTGATAGTCAAACTATTTAATAGTCAATTAATTTTATTATTTAACTTATACAAAATTATACTAAAGTTTTACTTTATTCTAATTGTGTTGTATATGTAACAAAAAATGAAATAACAATTTATTTTTTGTTACAGGGAAAATTTAATCAATTATTTATTTAAAGATTCAAGTGTTTTTAACTCGATATTAACCGATAATAAAAATAATAATATAAAGATTTATTTTAAAGTATGAGTTTTTTGTTTTAAAATAACTAAATAATAAGTAGTTTAAATTTTTTTAATTTTTTATAAAAATTTATGTTAAAGAGTTCAAGCATTTAATTGATTAATTAGAAAATATTGTAAATACGAATTTAAATAAGATATAAAAGTTGCAATTTCTTTTATTTAAAATATTTGATCACTGATAAATTCATTTAGACTTGTTTTATTTTTTGTTAATGTTTGTTTTATTTTTAATATTTCATTGGACTGTATGCTTTCCCCTAGTTTTATCTGATTCATCAAATCAAACAAATTAAAATATGAGAGTTTAAATCGTAATTTTTAATAATGATAATAATAGTATGGTTTTATAATGTGAATTTCATGTTCAATATAAATGTTTTTAATTGAATAACAACTATTGCATCTTGTGAGAAAAACAGAGTTCACAGTTTTTTCAAAAAGTAAAGATTTAAAGGGATCCCTGCTTTGGTCATTGATAATGTTAAATATATGACCCTGCATTGGCACTCCCAACACATGTTGTGTCTGATTAAAGATAATGTTGAAAAAAAAGGTTTGAACCAAGTTTTTTTGATTAAAAATAAATAATGAATGTATACCGAGAAAAACTAATCTTGTTATTTTAGCCAAAGCTTGCCTTCTCCATTTTGCTCAAAATCTTGGAGTTTTTAAATTATACGTCACAATCTACAGACTTTGGTGATTCCTTTAAAGTGTGTCTAATTCATATAAGTTTTAGTATTTGACGTCACAGTAGACTTTAAACAAATGAAATTCTAGAAAAATTTTTATTTTTCTTCATATTTTTTTTATTATTTGTTTAGTTATTCAATTGCTTGAAAACTTGCATTTGTCAATTTTGTTAGTTTTTTAATTTTTCCTTGTTAAGAGACAAATGCCAAATATGACATAAATTGGGATATACCAAATATAATGTTTTTTAACGCGCGTTACGACATTTTGACAATTTAATTTACCATCTATCTTGAATTATTACCATTTATTAATGTTAATTATTGCATTAATAATAATTTGTCTATACTTTTTGTTAAATGTTAATTATATTAAACGGTCAAAAATATACATACTTCATGTTTTTAATTTGATGGTAATAAAATACTAAACAGTAAACTTATGATCAAAATTTATAATTTATAATGGCAATTTAAATTAAATCAACGTAATCAAAAGTTTTTTTATAATAAAAAATTTCAATACTTCATTATAATATCTCTAATTAATACTGTCAGTTAATAAAAGTAATTGTTAATAAATACTATTTTTCGACAGGAAAACAAAAAATGTCAGTGTAAAAATAGTCAGAGAAGTTAAAAAATAGTTCCTCTTGTTTAAATGAAAATAATTAAGATTCAGAATATATAACACTGCGTTATCTTGCAAAAAAACGAGAGACCGTATATATAACGTTCTACATAATTTAAAATACTCTTATGAAAATCATAAGATTGGTAAATAAAGCTTTAATGTTTGTTTTAATATAAAAAAGCAAAAGAAACATAAGATATAAATTATTAAGGTATCTGTAAAAAGTAAGTTGCTCTTATAAAATAAAATAATTTATTTTTACTTTTTATAAACTTTTTTTGTGATGTTTGGAAAAATAATACAAATAAATTCGTTTTGCTGTATGTTTCAAGAATACTACAACATACTTATTGAATTAAAGAAGGAAAATGCAGCTTTGTTTAATTACATTTTTCAATTGTAAAAAATCTTCCGTGACGTCAAATACTAAAACTTTTATGAATTAAATGTGCTTCAAAGGAATTGTCGAAGTTTAATTGCAATGTTTGCAATGTTTAATTTAAAGACTCCAAGGTTTTAAGTACAAATGAAAAGGCAATCTTTAGCTAAATCAACAAGATTAGTTTTTCTTGGTATCATTATTTATTTTTAATCAAAAAAACTTGTTTCAAACCTTTTTCAACATTTTTGATATGAACACATGTGTTGAAAGTTTAAGTCCCTTTAGTGCCTGGATAATTTTAGATATCGTAATTCAAGATCACTTACCTTGAGCCTTCCCATTTTCATGCAATTTACAGGTTAAATTTAACAGCCTGACATCGGACATTGTCTGGCTAAAACCTAAGATTGTCTAATCAATTTAAAAAGTAATCAGACCTGGAAAATTGCGTTTATTTTACATACTCAAAATACCAGAGAAAACAGAGAAGACAAGCTTCGACTAAAACAACAAGATTTGTTTTTCTTGGTATACATTTATTAATTAGTTTTAATCAAAAAAAATTTGCTCAGACGTTTTTTTTTAACATTCTCTTTAATATGAACACAACATGTCTCGGGACTTGGTAGTCCATTTAAGAATAAGCAAAACAATTCAATACGAAAAAGAAAATCATTTAGCTTTAAAAAGTAAAACTAAAAACTTAAAGTTCAAACTACTTTTTGTTATGTTTTTAATTGCATTAAAAAAAAATTAATCTTAAATCCAATAGCATTAAATTAAAGTTATGCAAAACAATTATATAAATAATAATAAACAAATTTTATTTAAATTATTGAAAAGTGAAATTAAATTGTTGAAAAGAAAAATAGAGTATTATTAAGTTGTATAAACATTTCAAAAAGTTGCAAAAAAAAAAAATTCTGTTTTAATAATGTAGTCCTTTTAATTGTTTGATGCTATAATTAGTAAGTCAAGTTTAAAAAAAAAAACTTTAAACAATTCTTTGTAAAAATAGAAACAAAAATAAATAAAGCAATTAAATAATCATGGGAACATTAAATTAATAATGGAGGAATTAATTTAACTTATTCATAATTTAAATAACTTAAAAAAATAATCTTTTAAAAGATTTTCAGGAATACATAAAAAAAATAGTTTCTAATGTTTAAATTTATCATAAAAACATACCTACTAAAAATAAATAAATTTAACAAATAATGGGTTTATTTTAAATGATCCTTGTAATTGAACCTGTCATTTCAAAAAGGACACAAGTCCAAAACTTTAAACAGTTTATAATTTTTAAATTTCTGTATGATTTATTTATTTTTTATTAAAAATAAAAGTAGCTCAAGTTATTGCATATATATGTATATATATATATATATATATATATATATATATATATATATATATATATATATATATATATATATATATATATATATATATATATATATATATATATATACATATATATATATATATATACATATATATATATATATATACATATATACATATATACATATATACATATATATATATATATTAGGGTGTCCCAAAAAAAAACATTTTTGAAAATAAAATCTGCTCTCACCCCCTAAATGTGTTCTATCTAATACAAAAACACTAGGTTTAAATTTTTTTTGAATAAAAAATATTTTAAGGGGTCCCTCAAGACCCTGGAATATTTATTGGGTCCCTAATATTTTTGAAAAAAAAGTTTTTCAAATATTTAAATATAATTTTTTTTCAAATATAATTTTTTAAATATTTCAATAATATTCATTTCGTTTTTGCATAAGATAGAACACATTTAGGGGGTGAGAGCAGATTATTTTCAAAAATGTTGTTTTTTGGGACACCCTAATATATATATATATATATATATATATATATATATATATATATATATATATATATATATATATATATATATATACACACACACACACACACACACATTCTTTATTTATCTACTTTTATATTTAATTTCTTTAGCTGCGAAGACAATATTTTATTAAAAATCATGAGTTTGTTTGTTTTGAAAAATTTTAATGGACTTTTGCCCTTTTCAAAATGACAGGTTCAATTCGTTTTTGATTTTATTTTAAAGCCTTTGCGTAAACTAAAAACTCTAAAAAAGGATTAAATTTTTTTTTATTTAAATTGTTAAAACCTCTAAACAGCTGTTGTCAAATAGTAAAGAAAAAAATAATAAGCATAAAAAAATAATACATCGTGAAAAATTAAGTCTATCTAAATAAACATACATTATTAAGTTGAAACTATTTTTTATTAAAAAACAAAAATGGATGAAATATTCTAAATAGTAATGAAAGAAACTACAACTTCACTAGACTATATTAAATCTGAATAACATGGCAAAGTTTTGGATTGTGTAACTCAGTTCTGTAAAACTGTAAAAATTATATTTTAATTTGATTGGACAGTCTGACCTAAACAAGTTTTAATCGGACATTTTATCCAGGACTTTATAAAAAATTAAATTAAGCCCTGCATATATAGTTGTTCCATTCTGTGTAAAATAAATGCTGATCTCCAAACATTAAGTAATTTTATTTTGCTTTTTTTTATATATTGACAATCTTTTAATTCATAGTATCAATGTAAAAGTTCTCGATCATAATTTGAAAATTAAGTTAATTTTGAATGAGCATTGAATCTTAGTTATTTTTTATTGTTACATAAAGTTTGTAATAAAAAAGTGTGTTGGGCAATCCTAATGCAATTAGTCAATAAAATTATATTATCTATTTTAATTTCAGGTTATTTTTGATTTTTTAAGGAGTCCTTAAAGCTATTATAGCTGAATGCAAAGATGGAGCTTCAGCTAGAGCAATTTGTGAACTGGGTGATAAACTTATTTTAGAAGAAACTAACAAGATCTACAAAAAGGAAAAAGAACTAAAGAAAGGTTTTTATTTAAATATATGGCTTCATTTATTTAGTGTTGTTAAATATAGTTTTGTTGTCACATCCTATCACAAAGGTTTTCTATAATGAAATTGTTTTCAAAGCTTTAATTATTTAATTATTAAAACTGTTAAAAGTCTAATGTGCTCGGTCCAGAGCAAATGTGTGCAGTTGCAGTTTAACGCTTGTCATGCATTACTATATGCAACAGGCAATTCTTTACTTTTTTATTTTTATAACCTAAAAATACTGTATCTTTGTTAATGCACTGTGTTTTAGGAAGCAAATTACCAGCATGTATAAACTTTATTACTACATAGAAATACATAAATTTTACCTGGGCAATGGCATTTTTTTTTTATCCCAACCTTTTTTAATGACATTACAATAAAATCTTAACTAATTTAGGTATTGGTTTTCCCACGTGCATATGCATCAACAATGTTGTATGTCATTTCTCTCCACTACAAAGTGAAACTGACATGATATTAAAAACTGGAGACCTTGTTAAAATGTAATCTTTTTTTTTTAAACATGTTTTAAGAATGTTTTTATTAAAATCTAGGCCAAAAAGTTCTTGTCGTTTCTTAAAGAAATGTCTTTTTTTTTTAGAGATTTAGGTACACATGTTGATGGATTTATTGGTGGAGTTGCACATACTCTTGTTGTTGGTGCATCTAAAGTTAGTTTCTCTTTGTATATATATTGGTTAATAAATAAATTAGGCTCAATAATTCAATGGGCTTCTTTTATTGTGAAAAGCTTTTTTGTATTTAAAAGTAATTGAGTAAGTTTGGCTATCAATTTGAATATTTTCTTAGGAGAACAAAGTTACTGGAAGAAAAGCTGATGTACTTCTTGCAGCATATTATGCTGGTGAAGTAGCTCAAAGGCTTGTAAAACCTGGAAATAATGTGAGTTTTATATACTATTTACTAATTTTTTATCATTTGTATTGAACATGAATATTTTGGGGAACATTAGTTGCAAACATATAATTTGAACAAATGGCTTTCAGAAAGTATAAATTCAATACAGAAGCTAATTGTTAAATTAACAAGTTAGTAATAACTTAGGCAGTAATTAAGTTGTTGTTATAATTAATTTGTTGAATAATAATTGAATATAATTAAATACAGCAATTAAATTGTTGTAATAAGTTGGGACATGTTTTTATTGTGTCCTCATTTTTAATCATAGAATATTATTTAACTTTTTGTATATACAACACAATACAAGCCTTCCCAGGAAGCATGTGCAGTTGTATGCATTGTTTGTCCACGTTTTAAATAACTTTTTTTAGACAACTTAACCATGTTTTTATATACTCAATCTTCTCTGTTTAGTCAGCTTTTTTGCACTTGTCCACACACCACCAAAAGCTTTGGCGAGCGCTTAAAAAAGCGCTTTTAAAAAAAAAATACGTTTTGTTCAACTTTTTTGAAAAATGCTTCTTTTTTTTTTTACAAGTTGTTTTTAATTATTTTATCTATTATTTATTCAAAGCATTCTTTTTGCTATTTTTATATTAATCTAAACAGCAGGAAAAAAATGAATTTTTTTAAATTGTACAGGCCAACTTTAAAAAAAACCCATCCTGTCAGAGCTTTTTCATACATTGGCATAAATTACAGAGAAGAATGCTAAACGCTTTAAGAATTTGTGGGAAAGTATAGCTATATGAAACTACATAAAATAAGACAGCAAGGAAACTGAAGAAAGGAAACAAATACTTTACTAAAAGGAAAATCTAAATAAAATAAACTTAAAAAAATTAAAAAATAAAAACTTTTGTCAAAAAATATTAATGTTTTTGTTTTCTTTTTTTTTAAAGCGTTTTGTTATTTTCCACTACCAAACAATACAAGTCTAGCAAAAAAGCTGATAATATAAAGAAAACCAAAACATTTTTTCATATACTAAAAAAAGTAGCTAAAAATAACAACCAATCAAAAAGAATGCTTAAGTTTGTATAAAGGTTTTATTAACAAAAAAAAATTTTTTGTTAATTCTTTCTGGTTTATTTAATTTAAAATTGATATTTTGTTGCATCCATTTTTGATTTATTTATTTTCCCCAGTAGATAAGGTTAACTTTTCACCGTGAATTATTGAAACCTTTTTGATATAATAATTTTGTTTAAAATTATTAAATCAAAAGGGGTATGAATTCGTTGATTTTCAAGCATTAAATTTGTATTTATAAAGTTAAGGAGGTTAATGAAGAAGTTAATGAGAAAGTAAATACTAAGATAAGAATCTAGACAAAGAAAAATTTTTTTTGACTGTCCCAAAAAAAACAATTGACTGTTAATTCCATATGTTTGCTAGAGGGATTGTGTAGAATATAAGAAATCGCCTTCAATTTCCTATGTTTCACCCTGAATCATAATAAAGAGACTGTTGTCTAAAAAATTTTATTTATTGCATCTTTATTTTTTGTTGCTTTTTTTATGTTTTTATTACTTTGGTGAGTGATTGTTACATTTTTAAGCTACTCCTCATTTCTTTACTTTTTTATAGTTTTTTCTTTATTCTTCATAATTTAGGGTTTTTCTTTTCACTTAAAAAAAAACACATTAGTCATATGCAAAAAATCTTACAATAGATAGCTAGATAAATAAAAAAGAATATATTTAGGACATAGACTTTTATTCATCTTATCAAATCAAAATGGTAATTTTTGGAAAGTAAAAAGTAAAAGTTTAATTATTTTTTTAGAACAATCAAGTTACGGAAGCAATAACAAAAGTAGCAGAAGAATTTAAATGCAAACCAGTTGAAGGTATGTTTCTAATTTCAAAATAAGTTTTAATAAAAAGTTTAAATATTTGGAAAGAAAACTTATTTTGTAGTTTTTATATTTATTATTAATATTTTTATATATTTTAAATAGTGAGTAAATTGATTCACATATATTTGTACATAATTTTCATGTTGCTAAATATCTGTTCACAATATGTAGTTCCAAAAACTGTCAAGAGTCAAAATGTCACCAAGTTGTAAGACTATTCCATGTTTCAAATATAATTTGATCTCCCTTTTGAAAATTTAGTAGTTTTTCTATTTTTCCTTTCCATATTTTCTAGTTCAGTAAAGTTGTAAATTTAAAACCCAAATATTTGAGCCCTATTGATCTTTTTCGTTGGTGTTAAAATTTTAAACTTTTTAGAATTTATTTCACTAGTTATTTTATTAAAAACAAAAATTAATTGAAATTTGATTGCTAATATCTTGAATAAATTTAAAATTCTTTTTCAAAAAAAAAACCTACTTTTTCTAAAAGTAAAATTATATATATTACCTAGTTCTTGCTGCTTTTTATTGAGATTTCATATACGTAGAAATTTTGAGATGTCATATACACAAAAATTTTAAATTTTGTAACCAATTATAATCGTTTAACTCCAAGTATTTAAAAGCATTTGGTAACAAAAGAGTTTTAAATGTTTGATAAATTAAACTAAATCTTTAAGAACTGCCCCCCCCCCCCCATCCTCCTAGATAGCCAATAGAATTTATAATACAATAAAAGGTCAGGATATCTTTTATTAACTTCACAAAAAAATTATTGATAATTTGATGCTTGTGGGGTAATTTTGTTGACTATTTTTACTATGTTCTTTACCTTTTGAGTTTCATAAGAAAATGTTTGCATACATAGTGGCTCTTGGTATATAGTTGGCTGTTAATTTGTGTAATGCAGAGTATCAGAAAGTCTTCTTTTCCCCAACTTTGATTAAAATTTTATATAATTATTTAGTTAATTTAAATAATATTTGAAGTAAAATACTCACTTTAAAATGTATGAAATTAATATAAATGTTCACTATATTATTAAATTTAATTCTCTATAATATTGCTAAATGCTATTGCTAGGGAGATAAGTGTATACTAGTGTATACTCTGACTTATACGGACCGTAAAACACATAGTCAATACTGCAACTTAAATAAGTTCATAGATGCAGGTTATATGTGGCCAAATTAGTCATGTTGAGCAACAAACTAAATTAAAATAAGACAAGAGTATACTTGCTCAGAGCTTATGGGACTTTTTTTTCTTCTTGCGAGTATATATGTTATTAGCAGTATTAGAGTTAAAATATCATTGAAAATTGTGTATAATTTTTTAACTTATATAAGTTATGTAAATATGTATTTTTTTTTAAATGTTATAAAAAACATCTTATTAAACAACAATAGTCTGATTGATAAGCTTCATATAAAAATCATTAAAGTTTATCACTTAAAAAATAATGTTTTTGAAAAACAATTAAATCTTTTAGGCTTTATATTATTGAAACACTTTAATAAAAACAATACTATTTAATGAGGTATCAAAACAATGCTAATGATTTTTTGTAAAAAGTAATAATATATATATATATATATATATATATATATATATATATATATATATATATATATATATATATATATATATATATATATATATATATAGTTTTTTATTTATAAAATTATGTTTTTTTTTTTAATGATAAATTTTAATCTTTTAAATCAAATTTAAAACAAACCAAAATCAAAAAATAAAACAAATATACAAATGTTTAAACAAAGTAAGAAGTGGTTTTTAATGTATAATTATTTACTAGTATGTAGTGGATTATAATGTATACATGCAAACTTTTTTATACTTTTAAATTAGTAAAGAAAAAAACACTTTAATTTAACTGATTTATTAAATTTAATTTAGTGAGAATATATTTCAAACAATTATTAGAAGTAAATTGTACCTTTATTTTCCCATAATATTATATAAACATTAAAGATTGAGATTTGTAAAAGTATAAGTTTATTCTAAACGTAATTAAAATTATGTTCAAATAAACTTAATGTTTTAGTTTTTTGAGTTGAATTTTAGTTAAGTTATATTTTTGTGTTTTAGTATTAGCCTAAAACACAAACGTTTTTTATTTTCTCTTTTCTCCTTTGTTAAGATTTTGTTTTTTTAAATAGTTGTTTTTTTTTTAGTTAAGTCTGATGAGTTTTTAAATTTTTTAATAAAAAAATTAATTTAAATTAAAATATAACTGCATGTGATTGCTTGTGAAAGCAATTGTACTTATTGCAGCAACTTTAGCAATAGATATTTAAATCAATTAAATTTTTTGTCAAAAATTTGAACATTAAGGAATTTGTTTTCTCCACAAGTTTTTCCTTTAAGTGTAATCAAATTTAGCAGTTCTTTGTGTATTCTGACATGATATATGTTCTACTAATCCAACTTGCATGGTGTCCTTAATGTCACACGCCTAAGAAAACATAGTCTATAATTTAAAATCAGAAAACTCTTGTAATTTTAAATTTTCTGTCATTTCTATTGTTTTGTTAAACTGTTTTTGCAAAAGAATATCTTAGAATTTTTTAATTATTTCCTTTTTATTTTTGAAATTATTTAAAAAAAGTATTTAAAAATGTTTAAAAAAAGGTATATTAGATTATTATATCTCCATCTGTAAAAGCTTCCATTCTATTATTACCACAATACTACATCTCACTATTAGTTCTCAAAACTTGCTGCCGCAAAACTATTTAAAGACAGTCCATTTATTAAATACCAAGAATGGATATTGCATATTCTATTGTATTTCTATTATTTTGGCCTTTCTGTCATTGCTAGATAAATATCTTTTGGCGCAAGTTTTGTTAAAAAGGGGCATTCACGATTTGACTTTATTTTTTGACAACATTTCATTACAGGTTTATCATAATGGTATATGACATACTTGGAATAAAGGCATTTATTTCTGTCTGTTCAGACTTATTGCTTTTATTTACCTTTTAAAAAAGCTGTGCTGGAGTAAAAGAAACACATGCAGTCTGCTAAATTTTTGCAATCACTGAAATTTTTATTTCAACTCAAAATCATGTTCACAATGCTAGAATAAAAGTAAAATAATTTTATGATCTTTAAGTAAACAACTAAAGGTTCTATTTTGTTGGAAAGCACAAAATAAATATGGAGTTTCATGTTGCAGTTATGAAAATGAAATAGTATTCAATCTTTCATAAATATGTTTCACGATAATCCTTATAATATACATCATTTTGTTATTCTTGAATTAGACAAGCCTTTATATATTAGATTCCAGCATCATCTCAATATTTTACCAAAGCAGGATGATCAATTTGTAAAATATTATAAACTTAATGTTTATTCACATGAAATTGATAAATCTATTTTGACAAAATGAAAATGGTTTGTTTAATATATAAATGCATGTTTACAAAACTTGATACTCAAGCTTTGATGAATTTGTTTGTTTTTGTTAGGAATGTTATCACATCAATTGAAACAAAATGTGATTGATGGAGAAAAAACTATTATTCAAAATCCTAATGATGCACAGAAGTAAGTTATTAACAGTATTTTTTTTTATTTTAAATAATTTTTTTGCATATCATCTCATTCATCTTTTATTAATTGTTTATGCATAACATAAGAGATGTACACACACTTGTTTTACATACATTAAAAAAGTTATTATAACAGATTTTTCCTTTATCATTGTCTAGTGTAATGGTTTTTCAATAAAAAAAATTTTATCATAGGAAAGATCATAAAAAGTGTGAATTTGAATTGCATGAGGTATATGCTATTGACGTGCTGCTAAGTACTGGAGATGGTAAAGCTAAGGAGAGAGAAACTCGAACTACTGTGTACAAAAGGACTGACATGAATTACAGTTTAAAAATGAAAGCATCAAGAAGTAATTTATTTTCAATTTTTATAATAGTTTCTCAAAAATCTTGTGTTAGTTTTATAAGTCATTATTTGATGATGTTATTGCATATGGTAATGAATATTTAATTTAGAAATAGTATGATTCTTTTTTAAATAATTTTTTTTAATTAAAAGAAGGAAATGTTTTAGATTTTTTCCTTTTGCCATATAAAAGGATCTCTAAGTGTCAAAACAAATTATTTTAATTTCATAAATAAGCATTAAATATAAATTTTTAATTATTATTATTTAATAAACATTTCGTCTGTATTTGTACTAACCTTGTGATCTTATTTCTGTTTTAACTCTAATAGAAGGCTTATGATTCTACTTAGTTATAAAATTATTTGTTTTAAATGTTGTGTTCTCTGTAATGATTTTTTTTCGTTTGTTTGTAATATCTATATAATAAATTTAATATGGGCATAAAATGTAGAAGTATTATGGTAATGATAGTTATTTATTACTGCAAACCAAATTGGCATGTATAATAAATTAGAGTGGATATTTCAAAAATGTAATTAAAAATTAAATTTTGTTGCCTATGGATCTTGGCCTAGTGTAAACAGGGCAAGTTCCATAGGCAACAAAAAATATTTTCATACCTGATTTAAATGGGTTATTCTTATCAGTTATTCTTAAATCAATACTAACAAAATCAAGTTGTTTTTTTCCTGTTTTTAATAGCAATTGTCTCATCACTACAAAAGTGCATTTATATATACTTTTTCCTACCAATTGTTTTTAGTGGTTTAACAAACGGTCTTTATCAAATTGCCCTTCAAGACACTAAAAAATTGGTAATATTTTATTTGAGTCAATTGCTATGATTACCAGTTGTAGGTAATGCGTGTGTAACTTCAATCCAGGATTCTTTTTTTATATCTTTATATTGTAATAAAATAAGTAAAATAGTCGCAAAGAAGTTTTTTTTTTTAGTTTTATTTTAGAGAAGTTTTTAATATAAGGTAATCCCTCAGTGTAGTTAAGACAATTTTAAAAAATTGTAGCGTCTGTATGATATTTGGTTGACTACGACATATTTCCTTTAAACAATCAAGTCTGTCAATTATGAAAACACAAAAAAAATTAAAATGATAAATTTTGCATTATCATAACATATCAAAACCCAGGTCAAATATTCTTTTTTTTTTTAAAAAAAAAATCACAATCGCGCGTCCATATTTAAATAAGATTTTAAATAAATACGTTTTTTTAGGTGAAATTAACATTATTGTTTAACAATATGATCTGTTCTAATCGTTTATTGGCAATTTTTCTTAATTATAAGCTCTTCCTTCTGGTATTTTTTGTGGAAATTGATAAAAATATTGTGTTTTGATAACTCTATATAGTTAATATAGTCAGAACCAATTAGAACTAAGATCAATAGTAAATTAAGGAACTTTCAAAAGATTTTAACTAAATTAATGTTAACATTGATGAGCAGAATTGATCCAAAGACTCTAAAATGGTGTTCTTTAGATTCACTATTAAGGGTAGTAAAAAGATTTTGAAAATTAAATAAAAAAAAAAAAGGAAAGTCTCTTTATATATATTATAAAAACCTAAAGCAAAAAAAATTATAACATTTGATGAACTTGTTTGGACATAATATGCTGGCAAAACGTTGCTAATTCCAAATAAAAGAATTAAAATAATTTGTAAATCGCCTAAACTATACCGAGCTTTTGTATTAACTGTCTTATCTCTTGTATAGTACATACAAGACACTCCGTTGCTGTTTTTCTACTGGTTTTATATGATCTTAAAACTTTTGATAATTATAAAAAAATTATATATTATGATTTTAAACTTCAATTTCACATTTCAAAACTTTTTTTTTCTTTCTTTTTCTCAGGAAATAAGGAATTTAAGTTCTTTAAATAAGATTTTTTTTTTTTTTTTTTTTTTTACCAAACATAAAATGAGGGAAAATCTCTAAATTAAATTTAACTTTTAAACTTATTTTTTAATCTTGTTATATAATGAAAACTGTATTTATTCATAAATAATTCAGTCAAAAATATATACCAAAGTCCATTTAAAAATTAAATTTTATATTTAGAGTTAAGGTTTGTATGAGTGTCAGCGATGACATACTAAAAATAAAGAAAGGGTTAATGGTATTTTCAGGCAATGTTTATGTTCATTTTATTAATTATTATTCATTTTCTAAAAGCTTTCTAAGTTTAGGTACTTATAGTAAAAAAAGATAACACTATAAATTAAGTAAATATAAAAATTTAAATTCAGTTCTTAAATGTTATGTGTAATATGTATTCTATTAAACCTTTTCTTCTTTTCAATGAGAATTTCATATGAGAGTGATGAAGCTTAGGCCGAATTGATAAACATTTGTTTGAAGTTTAATTAAAACAAGCTCATGAATGTTATGATAGAATTCACCATAGCGAATATTCTGACTCATTCTTTTTATTATATGATTGAGATTTTATTAGTTTTGTTATGGCATAATATGAATTCTAATTAAAATTTTAGATTTTTACAGTGAAGTTTGCAACAAGTTTACTATGATGCCTTTTACCTTAAGGTAAATTTTTAATTTTAACTTAAGATTTTAATGTTATAAAGGATTGTTTTAAAAACAAAAAATTATTATGTATTAAAGAGCTTTTGAAGATGAAAAAAAGGCTAGGCTTGGTGTAAATGAGTGCACTAATCATGAGTTAATTACACCTTACCCTGTACTTTATGAAAAAGATGGTAAGTTGAATTATTATTTTATTTTTTATCCTTTATTATACATATTGTAAATTGTATTATTAATTAATTAGATAGTGATTAAAAAATCTAATGTTTTAGGTGAATATGTTGCACAATTTAAATTTACTGTATTACTTATGCCTAATGGACCACTTAGGTATTTTATATTTATAAACAAATAATTTAACACAAAAAATGTATTTCATATGTAAGGAACTTTATGGGTTATTTATTCTATACACAATTAAATATATAATTTATTTATTTTTTAATTTAGAATTACCCATGGCACTTGGGATCCTGAGTTAGTTCAATCAGAATACAGCATAAAAGATGAAGAACTTAAGGTATTAAAAATTTAAATGAAAGGATTCTATTCTAATAATATTTAGAGTAGCCGTTGCCCAGTGGTAGCAAACTTGCCTCAGAAACAAAGGATTGGTGGTTCCAAACCCCACCTCTAGGCGACATCGGTTAGAAAGGAGTTATGAACTTCCAATTTAATGCTCATCCGCAGTGCTCTGTGATAAGACCGTAAGTACTTCTTGGGGCACCTAAATAAAATAAAAAAAATTAATATTACCCTAGAAAAATTTAGGTCAGGAACCCATGCAATGTTTTAAAGTGATTTGAAAAACATGCTTTTAAAAGCATCGCCATTATCGCTTAAATATATTTATAATACGATAAACTGAAAATAATAAGCTTTTATAATTGTCCCATTAAGCACGGTACGTTTTTTAAACTTTCTTAGGACGTTTTTATTTGGTTTAAACCTAATAAAAACGTTTTAAAACCGACCGTTACCACAGATATTTATATAATATCATTGGCTTGATTGTCTATTGTGTGTATATATTTTATTTATATTATAAGATGTATTTAAAAATGTTATTTTCTTAATTTCCAGTTTTTAGTATATATGTTTTTAATATTCAACTTCTTTTATAGAAAATATTGTCTTCTCAAGTAAATAAAAAAAATCAGAAGAAGAAAAAGAAAAAGGTACCAACTCAACCAACCAGTGATACAACCTCAAAGAATTCAACGGATTCCTCGCTAATAACTCCACCTGTCGCCTCTTAGTAAAAACAAAGTATTTATCCTGGCTTACACTGTTTCATATAAATAGACCTTTTTGGCTACATATTTGGAAATAATTGGTTGCATAATACATGAGCATTGATGTTCCAGCAATACATTAGTTTCAATATTCAATAAACTTCTTAAGTTTTTTACATTAACATTTTTTCTTTTATAATTGAATTTGGTTATTTTTCTGTTTTTAAAGTAGAATTATATATTATTGCAAGAAGTTCGTGATTATGTGAAGTGCTTTTAAAAATACTGTTTTATCAAACCAAATATTATTACCCTCAGCAAATAATATTTTTAGAACAATCTTTTTATTATATATATAAATGTATTTATTACTTATTGAAAGGGTGTATGTAACTTTGTATTCTCATGTAGTACTGAGATGCCAATATTTTTTCCTCAATAAATAAGTTAAAGTAAATTATTAGTTTATTTTTGTTTGCTGCAATTTTTGAGCAATAACTTATAAATCATCTGCGTTGTGTTAATGCCGCCTGCTATTTATATTTAGTTATAAGCTAGGGTGTTAAGTGCTCAAAAATAAATATTTTCGTTAAACTAATCTCAAGATTAATTTTTTTTTTTTTAAGTTTTAAAAACTCAATAATTTTTACACCAATACTTAGGAATCAAATCTTGAGTTTTGTTTAGTAAACCAAAATATTTCAACACTGGTTTCGGATTATTTAACCGGATGGCTTTAAACATTTGTTTTTTTTATTATTTAAATTGTATTAAAAATACATCTCTAAGCTATATACTTAGGACTACTTCATAGTAACCGATACTTTGATCATATATATATATATATATATATATATATATATATATATATATATATATATATATATATATATATATATATATATATATATATATACATATATACACACACGCACATATTTTGAAAATAAAATCGAACGTGTGCTAAATTATTTTTCGAATCAATTTATGCTAACTAACGTTAAACGAAGTTTTTTAGTTGTTTAAAAAAAGTTTTCTCTTTATTCGCATGTTGACCTATATGTTTAATGTATACATATAAAAATAAAGTTCCTGACATTTTTATCGAAATTTTTGATATTATTTTTTTTTCAAATTAAAATTTAGTTGATAGATGGAAGATTACAGTGTTGATTCGTGTGTTTTATCTAAATACTTTAGGGAACTTCAGCAAGGTAATTGATAAGGTTAAAATTTAGTTTTTTAAAAAAAGTTTGCTTGGATGTTTTTTTTATTTATAAGCATTTTTTCTCATTTGCTGAGGATTTTTTTTTTTTTTTAATGAGAATATAAATCATACTAATTATTGCTTTAATGTAAATACATAATTATAAGTTTTTATTTTTTTTTACTATGAAGGATTTCAAACATTTAAAAAAACTTAAGTATATACAAGAATTTTATTTTCTGAATTTTATTTATTTGTTTTAAATTAATGTTAACCTTGTAGTGTAAAATGCTCAGCAAGGGACACCAGTTTGTTTTTTGTTTTTCTTGAAGTTTTATTAATTTTATTTATTTTTATTGCAGAAAAGAAAAAGTTAGAAAATAAACTAGAGCACTTGCGCATGAGAAAGAATGATATTGAGTCGAAGTTAGATACAGGTTTTTTAGTTATTAGTTCTACAGTTTTTAGTAGAGTTTAAATTATACAACAATAACAAGAAAATAATTATTTTCCTTCGCAATTTTACAACAATATAATAATAATTACAAAAATAATATTATAAGATAACAAAGTTAATACAAAATAGGATAGATTATGGTAATATGAGCATTAAAAAGATGTAAGCACTTAAGTTAAAGTTGCTATGTATTTTTTGAATCGATTTGGTGATAACAGAAATCAGTATAATTAGCGTAAATTTATATGCAGTATTTAGCGGCTCTCTAATTACAGGGATTATCTTTTTCCGGATATTTCCGGAATTCCGGATATTCAAAATGTTTTCTATACATACAAGTTTAGGTATATATTTTTGTTATATATTTGTTTTTTAAGCTTTTTCACAAATCAATCATACAAAAATTATAAAAAGTTTGGAAAAAAGTTTGAAACAACTCAGCCAAAAGAAAATTTAGAAGGAAAATTTATTCCGGATTTTGTCAGGATATTCGACCCAACCAAATTTCCGGATTTTTAAAACATGACCTGGATAATCTATGTAATTAAAACACTATAAAATTTTTTTGTGCTGTTGAAATATTATCATCACGCATGAATAAACATTTTGATGCTAAAATAATGAAATTTCATAATCAAAAATATATTAGCTAGGAATCCGTTTCATTTTTGTTTGAAAAACGATGCTTATAAACATTTAGTTTTGACTTGATTAAAAACTAACATTTTTGTGTAATAGGAACACGCTCAAATTACCCGGCGTTTTTTTTTCATTGAAATTACTTAGTTTAAAGTCTTTTTTTAAGATGCTTATACTTTTTTTATCTACCATCTCTTAAATGTTAATATTTTACCATTTTATAGGACTTTCGTTTTTTAATAAGCCGTTTTTACGATTGTAATTAGTCGATTTTTAAGTTTTACTGTTCACTTACTAATGTGCCACCTAGTAGGGGTAAGTTGAGCAGTTTTGAAAAAGAAATATAAACAAAATAATAGTAAAAATGAGAAATGGATACGACTTTCAGAATAAATTGCTAATACATTAGAACAAGAATAAAGTAAAAGTACCGAAAACCGGACAGTGCGCAAAAGCGGACACAAGATATTTGCAAAATTTAAAAAAGTTTTATTTTTTAGTGCGAGGAAAATTATAAATTTTCAAAAAATAATTGTTTATGTGATTGTTTTAATAAGATATTTAAGTTCAAACAAAATCTAACCCTTAAAATCAAACTTTTTTTTGGAAATAGTATGAAAGATTTTTAGCATAAAAAATTTAAAAAGGCAATTTAAAAACAAAGGAAGTTATTTTGTTAAAAATTTTCTGCTAATTTCAAAAACAGTTTTAAATTTTCATAATCTTACTCCTTAAAAAGTTATGACGGAAATAAGATTTTCTTCAGTTTTCACTTTAAACCGGTGTAGCGGTAAATTAAGACTCCATGAAATTAGTACTTCGAAGTCTTGATTCCCCGGGAAAACAAGACTTTGAAGGAAAATTTGACGGGAAAATTTGATGTTATGAGTCATTATTTCCCGGGAAATTATGATTGGAGCGGTAAATTAAGACTCCAAGAACTTTCGATTCAAAAAGAAAATTTACAAAGAAATCGTTCTATTCTGCATTAAAAAATTTTTTTTTAAAAAAAAACTGTAAATAAAATTTAGAATAGAATCAAAGTTGATGCGAACGCAAAAGCATGTTTAAATAATACGCTATAATTGTTTCATACGTAAACAAATAAATAAATTTTACAAATAAACACAAGTGTGCGGCTTCATGGCGAAGAAAAGAAAACATTTTGTTTTTGATAACATAGAAGATTCTCTTAAGAATAAAAAATACCATTCTACTATAACTACACATGATCATGGGATTAAATCAAATTTTTGAAAAGCAGGTGAAAGACGGACATTTATTCATAGATGAGTTTTTTCCGGAACTTCCCGGAATTCCGAAAATTCACTTTCAATTTTCCAGAAATTTCCGGATGTTTTTTGTTATTAATTTGAAAAAAAAATTTGTATATTTTTAGATAAACTTTTAAATACGACAACTTTTGCATTTAAACAAAAGTTTTCTATAATTAAAATTTTTACGAGATCAATTTTCGTAACCATTTTTTTTTTTGCTATTTGATTCATTCAAATTAACTTTTTCGAATATTAGAAATTCCTTTTTGTGAAAAGTTAAATATTCTAAATTCATTTTAACAGTTTACGAAAGTTTTCGTTGTCTGTTACAAGGTTATTCATTCCTATATGCGCGTCTTTTCAATTTTATATGCGTTTCATTCTTATATGCGTTTTAAAAAAGCAATAAGAACAACAACAAAAATCATTTAAGCATTTTGTTTTGAAAAAACAATTTTCTTTTTTTTAAAACAAATTTTTCTTATTTCCTGGTAAACTGCGAAGAATTCTAAATGAATCGACATCGTCAAACTCTACGAATTTTGAAAGTTCATCTTTTACTGATTTGAGAGACTCTCTAAGCTCTCTAAGAGAGCTTTTACCTATTGTTGTTGTTCTTTTTCTAGTGGAAGAGGTGTCACTAAACTCTAAATTAATTCAAATACACTAGGTGGATCTCGAGGTTTTTCTTTTCTTTTTACTTAAATAACTAGGAAGTTTGGTAGAAAATGTTTTGCACAAACTACAGTGTAATGTTTATATGGTATATTGTCTATTGGGAAAACGTTAATCTATCTCTGGCGCTCTTTAAGATCTCTTAGAAATTCGAGAAGTATTTGTCTTATCTTTTACTGAGTCATAGTTATAGTTACAACCAGTTTTCTGTGCATTTTCAACATAATTTTCTAGGCGTTGCGCGATGTTATTTCAGTTCACCCTGTAGCGAAATGATCTTTCAATTTCAAGAGATTGTTGGAGTCCTAATTTACCGTTCCACTCTTAATTTCCTGGTAAATCTAAACTCGAAAGGTTCTAAATTACGGGAAATTAAGACTTTCGAAGTCATAATTTCCTGAGTCCTAATTTACCGCGACACCGGACACAATAAATCCACCCTATAATCAATTAAATTTAATAGCTTTATCTTTCTATTATTTTTTCACTCTAATTCAATTTTTTTATTATGTTTAAGCTAATTTATTTCATTATTTTTTCATACTGACTGAATTTTTTTCATTTGGATTAAGTTTTCACACTTTCATGTTAATTAATTTTGTACTTTTGCACTTATACCGTTGAAGTTAAAGTGCAAAAGTACACAAAGTAACTACAAAAGTGCATCGTTTCTTCAGTTTAAAAAATCTGTAACTGAATTGAGTTTACTAAACTTATAATGGCAAAAAATTAATTAAACGAGAAGCCTTACATTGAGGAGACAATGAAAAACGCATTGGATAAGATTGAAAATGGCGAGTTAAGCTTAAGAGGCGCAGACGCAAATCGACCAAAAATCAAATAAGACCTCAGTAGTTGGTAGTGGCAATACATCAAAATTGAGCCCTTTTATCGTGTTAACCTTGGTTCATCTTCTTCAGATGCTTGGCGATTGGGGCTTTGGTAGACGGTTAGATCAAGTTAAGAGAAGAAGACAACGCAAAGCTATTAAAACGAACAATATGTTGAAATTGCAGCAGCAGAAGTAGAAACTCCTGCCAAAAAAGTCAAAAAAAAAAAGTACAAAGTTTTTTGAAAATGAAACGCCAGAGATACAAGATTTATGGAAAACTTGTGAAAAATCAAGTTGCACTTCGTGGCTTTTTTCTTTGCAACTTAGTTTATTAATTTTTTATTTTTATTTCAAGCTAAAGCTTGCTTATGTTTTTTTTTTAGTTTTTTCTACTTGTAAATATTGAATTTATCAATTTATCTGTTTTTCATATAATTTGGAACTGTCCGCTTTTAGGGACAATTTTCCGAAAAGCAGACACTTTTTTAAAAACTAAAATCTTATTTTCCATAGAAACTTGAAATTTTTTTTACATTGTAGAATTGCTTTAATAAACAACTATATTCCAGAAAAATAAATTAAAATACAATTTCTTAATATTAAGAATTTATTTAGCTTTTTGTGAAGAATGTGTCCGGTTTGCGGTACTTTTACTCTAATCAAGTAATGATACTCGTTGTCAAAAAAAAAAATGATTGAAATTTATTATAATGTCATCAAAGTAATTTGAAAATTGGAAAAAAGTTTTGCACATTTATAAAAAAAATCTATAATCAAACTAGAAACGAGTCTCAAAAGCAATTGGAATATTTATCTACTGTTGAATGGGTTATGAAAAGATATGAGAAGACTATCCATCGAAAGAGTTAAAGGACATAAACAACGGTAAACTTAATTGATTGTACTTTTGAAAGAAATTCAGGTTTGTCTAACAGAATTTATTGCAATTTATTGGTAAGAAAAATAAAGAAATAATATAATTATGTCTTTTCAAGCATTTAAATATCCATACTATTATGACCAGGGCCGACGACACGGGTATCAAAATGGAGGGGCACAATCGTCCATTTCTAAAAAAATACAAAATTTTTCTTTTTAAACAAATAAAGTCCTTTAGAAAAAAGTGTGGGAGGAGGCTCACCCCCCCCCCCCTACCTTCGTGTCGTCGGCTCTGATGACAAACAAAATTCTACTGCCAAACCATTTTGACGGAGATGAAACTTACATTCAATTTCAATTTCCTGTTATCGAATATGGTACTTCAATTTTTCGTGGTCTTGTTAACAAGTATAAATGCAAACTTGTGAACAAATTATGACAAAAAATTGCTCTTATGGCAAGCAATTTCTTGTTGCGGAAAAATGAGGAGATTTTGTGACGCTATCAACTTTGACATCAGAAATTTATATTCAAGAGTATCTTCAATCGCGAGTTTTGCCACTCATTTAACTTAGTGTCACTACGCAAAGAAAACTTTGGAGTGGTATAAATTGAGAAAGGTTAAATATTTCTCAAAAATCTCAACCGCTAAACTATCCACAATTCCGGCATATCAAAAAAGTATTGGGGAATTAGCAAAATATTTTTGCGTAAAAGAGGCAAATTAATTCAATACAGTATTTGCTTAAGGCATGGTCAACCATAACCAAAAAAAAAATAACAGTTGTCCTTAAATTAAAAGGCATAAAATTAATTAAATTAATAGGCAAAAAATAATCGCTCAACAGAATACAATAATAAAAAAATAAAATTTTTTTCGGAACTCAAAGTATTTTTATACTTTTTGATTTCATAACTTTAAATAAATATTTAAGATATTTGTAAAAGTTATTTTGAACATTTTTGAAAAGATTTTCCTTTCTCGTTTTTTTCAATCTCACGATCTATTGAACACAAATAAACAATAACGATAAGAAATAATTTCGCGGTACATTATACATAAAATTAGAAGTTATTTAGCAGGTTGAGCAGCTCGGTAAACTTTAGGCAATATTTTCTTAAATTAATCTTTATTAGGTTAAATTATCTTTCCAATAATGAAAACTCCGACGCACTGTTTATAAGATCTGTTAGATCACACTATATCCAAAAAATTTCATAAGCTGGATATAGTTTGTTAAAACAAACTCTATCCAGCTTATAATAAAGAAAAGAGGAAAATCTATGCTCACCTCATTGTAGAATAGCAGATTACTAATTACTGTTTATATTTATTTTAGTTTCTCAAAAAAACTTGATGCTTGTTCAAAAGAATGACAACATGGCAAGTAAGTATAAACACATCATTAATATGGTAAAGCAAAAGTTACATTGAAAAAAAAAGTTCAAGTGCTCTAATTAAAAATAAGTTATTAGTAATAACTTAAGATATGTTTTATATTACATAAAGACGAACTAACACTAACTTAAAGACGAAAAAAAACTTTAATATTACATAAAGACGAATTAGAACAAATCGAATATAACATTCTTGAGTTTTTGTTAAAAAAACAACTTTTTGTTACAGCTAAGTAGTAACTTATACCGTTTACTTGTAATTAATTTTTTTTTTTTTAATTATAAATTTATTCAGGGAAGTATGCACATGCTTATTAAAGATACCACGGCTTTTGTACTGTTTGACAAAAAGTAGAAATTTTTGCCGGAAAAGATTATTCAGTTATCAATTTTTTTTTTTTTTTTTTAAAAAAAAAAAGGCAAAACTTAACTTGTTCAAATTAATTAAAGTTGCTTTTTAACTAACCTACTCTTTGTCTAAAACTACCCCGCAAGAAGGGGTAGTTTTGGAGCAGTTTCGGAAATGTAATAAGAAGACTAGAATTGTTTCTTATTTTTTTATTGAGCAGTAGTTATAAACAATAGCAGAATTAAGAGAATTATTACCAATATCAGAATTATTCTTATAAAGATCTCAAACTATTAGATAATTTTTTTGTATATTAAATTCAAACAAACTAAAAATATTATTCAATCACCTATCAATCTCATAAATACAAAAATATAAACTTTAATCTTAAAATCTTTCACATTTCTTATTAAAGTTGCGCACCATTTTTAAAATTTGTTTAATTTTTTAATAATTTAATTTGTCGAATAGATTGTGAAGAGACGCGTAGTACGTTCAAATGTGCCCCATGAAAATTGTCCAATGTTGTCTCAACCCTGATTTCAGAATATATTCCACAAAATTTTTGTCAAAATTTTGATAATCTGATAAATCTTGTAATTGAAATTTTTATTTATATCTTATAACATATCCCTTTCACTAAAAAAAAGTAAAAAATAAATATTTTTGACAAGTAATTTCCTTACGTTTGAAAATTTTTTAAAATATCAAAAACCGCGTTTGTAGTAAGGTTATCTTTAAATGCCTTTCTAAAAAAAATGATGTGACGGTTACATGGGAAAGTATTTCCAATTAACCAATTTAACATTTAAGTTGGTTGATAACCCCATTTTGCACAGGACGTAAAAAATACTCTTTGCTTACTGGAAAGTTTGTATTTTTTTAAATATTCGCATTGTCCTAAACTACTTCTGTCCTAAACTGCCTCCTTTCTTGTAATACAAGCTTAATGTTTTTTAAAATCCATTGGAATAGTTTCGTTGGGACAGCAATGGCGATAACAAGTGACTTTACTATAGTAATTCTTGATATGAAATTTTCAGCGTGGCGAGTAATTTAAACCAAAAGCAGTATTTTAAACCAGCGTAGTTATTTAAACCAAAATATAGGTTTAACTGAAAATATTTTTTTTCAAAATTATATATATATATATATATATATATATATATATATATATATATATATATATATATATATATATATATACATATATAAAATAAATTCTATAACTTAGTTTTCTTTAAAAATCAGAAGAAAAAAATAATTCAGTAGAAAAGAAATTTAATTGATCAAATTGCATTATTAAATTATTCAGGAACCGTGAACGTTGCCAAATTACGAGTCCAGGAAACGCTGATTCAAGTGGATAAGTTTGTATTCATTTATTTTCGTTTTATTTGTAATCATTATTAGTATTCATGATTTATGTGTTATCTATTATACATCACCAAATAACTGTTTTTTAGTCTTCAGAAAAAGAATGACGAAATCCAAAATGTTGTATCACAAGTAAAAGAGGCTATTATCAGCGAGGAACAAAGAAGTGAAAAGTTGCAGTTAGTGCTTTTAGTTTCTATGATGTAATTTTATGCTGTCTTGTTTCTTAAGCACAGATAGGTACAAGTATTTGAAGTAGGTAAACATAAATATTTAACCTACCGTGTTGAGCTAAATATTTAACTAAAGTTCGCATGTTGAACATTAAAGCATATACCAGGTCAGCATTAGAATACAATGAGTCTACTATATATTGAGTCATTATATGCTCCTCATAATTATTACTCAATTTCTTAAGTTGTTTTTAGTTGCGCAAAGCATAACTAAAGATCAGAAGTGGTCCAAACGTCCTAGAAATTCTATTTTCATTATCGGCTTCTCGCAATATCAACATTAGTACTTTCTACCTTAACCCTATATTTTAGAAAAAAAACCTTTCAGATATTACTTGTTTAAAGTTTACGTGGTATCTTTTAAAATTAATGATATATTACATAACTAGATGTCTAACTTGCGGGATTTTATTCAACAAAAAATAAAGCCGCTTTTTTTTTTGTTTATATCAATAGTCATCCATTTGTAAAAAGGGCAAAAGCTGAAGCCGAAGTGTGGAATAAAAGTTAAAAATGCAAGTCAAAAGTTCCAATTAAAATTAAAGATAATTCAAAAATAAATTTTAATAATTATAAAATACTTTTAAAAGTTTTTTTATGAGCCTATGTTTATTAAAAACAATTTTAATTCATAAAAATGCGTCAAAAGCGTCTGTTTTTTTACTTTTCTATTCAAACTTTAATCCCTTTTTAATCGAAAATAAATTAAGGAATCATAAATTATTATTTTACAAGTCTTATAATTTCCGCTTAACACTTTTACGTAAATAGTATTTAAATTTGAAATATATTTACTACATTTAAGAAAAGAAAAGTTTAAGCCGCCATTGTAAAAAAGGCAAAAAGCGGCTTCACTTTTTAGATCGAAGTTAGATTATATAATATATCATTGGAAAATAAGATGCTTCCAGATAGTCCGATGATAATGTTGATATGTTTGATATCAGAGGCAAAGGTAAACTTAAACTAATTGAGTTCAAAAGTGCTATTACTTTATAATGATTTTCATTTACATTTTAAAAATGTCTAGCACGACTGCCTTTTGAGCCACCTGTGTACTTCTGATTCCATCAGTACTAGATTCTACTCTGAAAAAATGCTGCTGAAGAGTCAAACACGATTATAACAACATTTGGATATCCCTGTCTTCCTTCAATACCGATATGTATCTAATAGAATTAAAGAGATCCGATCTTATTTCAATTATCCTAACCTTTTAACTTGATGACACCGATCTTTATCTATTTACGTAAGAAATAAAAACAATTTTAAATGCGCATAGCATGACTTTAACCAGTGTTGATAAACGGCGTAAATTTTCTCGCCTCCATTTTGTTCTCCAAAATGTTCTTTCTTCTGTATCCAGTGGCTTCCGCTTTTCTATTGGCGGCCGCAGCTAGAGTTTTTTTTTTTGATGCAATATTTCGGAGCCCGATATCAATCAGGAGGCGGAAGTCATTGGTGGCCGCCTCCAGAAGAAATTTTGGAGGCAAAATGATTTAAAGGCCGCCTCCGGTGGCTTCTGCCTCCCAGCCGGCTGCGGCCGCCAAATTGGAGGCGGGAATATTTTCCTCCAGCCGGCGAATGTTTTAAAAAATAATTTAACATTTGTTTTTAAGTTTTTAAGCAACTTAAATATTAATTATGAACAAACGTTAAAAATTTGACATCAAAGTTTCATTTTATACGATTTATTGAAAAAGTTTTTAAACTATTTAATTAAAATAACAATTTTTTCGAAGTAGTTGTTTATCAAGTAAATGCGAATTGAATCTAAAAATGTTTTAAATAAATTATAGTGTTGTGACCAAAACTAAAAATTGTAACTAATTAAACTAAAAAAACCGTAACTAAAATTAGTCGACTAACCTTTTAGTTAACTAAAATTAACCGACTAAGTTTTTAGTTAACTAAATATACCCGACTTTGTTTTTAGTCCAACTAAAGAAATTTATAAATATATAATAAAAATAATTTGGGTTCATGATATCATTTCTAAGTTTGCTGATGCATTATCATTTTACCGCAAAAATAAAAAAAAAAATCAAAATAATTTTGTTTCAATTTTCAGTGCCAAAGGTTTAACAAGATACTTCAAGAAAATATTTCATAAAAAATCCGAAAAGTAAACATTGTAAATTTACCATGTTTACTTTTTATAAAATACAAATATCTTTAGAATTGAATAAGCTACCAAGGCCAGCGCAAAAGGGTGAGGGGATGGGGTGGTTGGTTTTGTGTGTGACATCCCATCAATGAACTTTTAGATCATTTAGTAAGTCAATTTGACTCTTAGATAAGTAAGTCGGCAAATGTAGATTTTCAGAAAAGTAAATTTAAAAAAACAAGGATTTTTTTTTCCTTTTTCTAGTCAGCTAAAATTTTAACGGCGCTCACTATGTGTTACCTACTTGTGCCGGCCCTGTAAGCTACAGTATATTACAGTTATTCGTTTTTATTATGTGCCACTTTTTTGGATTCAAATTATAAAAGTTTTCAATCCTTTAAAAAGTACGAGAAAATTTTTATTGATAGTGACAAAATAATAACATGTCAACATGTGTTTCCAATATTGTATTGTATTTTAACAATGATTTTATGACAAAATAATAACAATTCTTTATAAAGATATATTAACTTCTCTACCTTTATCTAATTCCCGATAAAACTTATCGGTTATTTAGTATTCGAACTCTTTTGTGTGAAACTGATATATATTTTTTTTGGTTACAAAAATGTTAAAAATTAATATAGTTTTTTAAATTTAAAATGTGTTAAAAAAAAATGGTAAAAAAAAATTTTTTAATTAAAACAATTAACATGTGATTTTAATGTTCTTGGGTGTGCGGTTTTATCATAATGTTCTCTTAAACCGCACTTTTAAGCACTTTAAAATGTATTTTAAAGCACTTTAAAATGTGCTTAAAAACTGCGTGTTGCATTTTTCAAGTAATTAAAATGTCATAAACAATTTCCTGGTTTTAAAAGCGACCGCAGTTACTTAATAAAATGTTTTCATTATTCAACGGTTAAGTATTATTTAATACATTTCAAACACTATTCATTTAATACATTTTAAACACTATTCAACAACTTAAATAGCGGAAATTGCATTCTAAAATGCAAATATCAATCTTCCTTTTAAATTTTGCAAATATCGCCAAACGACGAACAACTATATTCTGAAAGCAATAAATATATTCATAATAACTTATTTAACGATTACCTTTTGAGTTTATGTCAATACTTTCGCCTGCCTAACTGTAGTGTTTGCGAGTTATAATAGTCATGAGAGAAGACGCAACAATAAATGTTCGTATATTACGTATTGTATTTGTGGTGGTGGTTATGTTAACATTACAATAGGTTTGGGGAGGGTTAATAAAGGGAGTGAATTTAATGCCCATTTATAATTTTTAAGTGAACACAATATTTTTATATCTTCTGTATTTGGAAGAACTAGAATGCCAAATGTCTTAACTGCATTGTTTCTAAATTTTTTTTTTACTGTATTTTTCAATCTACTATATTTTGTTTTGCTGTTGTGTTTTTTTTTTTTTTTTTTTTTTTTTTTTTGTATTTGGGGTGGTCATCAATTGTTAGGAGAGCTTGATATTTGAAGGGGTGGGAGGGGGTCATAGACTTATTGTGAAAATTAGAGATTAAATCGTGCAGCCGTGGCGCAGTGGTAGTGCACTTGCCTCAGAAACAAAGGATCCGTGGTTCAAACCCCACCTCTGGGCAAGATATGCGACATCGGTTAGGAAGGAGGCATGAACTTCCAATTAAATGCTCATCCGCGGTGCTCTGTGATAAGACCGTAAGGACTTCTTGGGGCACCTAAAATGAATTTAAAAAAACAAAAAAAATCTATTCCTATAATTTGGCAGGGGACAGGGCTGTACTGGACAACAAAGAAATAGGGGGAGGTACAAATGAAAAAAGCTTTTTTACCATAAAAATCTCACCAAAATAGGGCTTTTTTTAAATTTAAAACCCAAATTTCAGTTTTAACTGACCGAGTCTCAAATTTTCCAAATTACCAACAAAACCGACAGAATTTTGTAAACCTGGGAAGGTGCCCACACTCCCATCAGTACGGCCTTGGCAGGGTAGATTAATTTTGAAGTGTGAGATTATTGTTGCACAATACCTAAAGGACGCAGCACATAAAAAATATAAGTTAAACGTTCAATAAGCGTACCAAATTTGATTTAATTGACTAAAGAGCATTATTTGTACATTCCATGTCGATTGGGTGTTTATAAACAGTTGCAACAACCTCATAGGCAGTTGCCTCCGAGCTGGGAAAAAATTAAAGTAATCGAATTTTGCTTAAAACATTTTTTTGAATAACAGTTTAGTTTGACTGGGTTCTAGGATTCACGATTAGTAAAGTGTTTAATTACGATGAAATAATATTTATCACCTTAATAAAGCTTCCTCGTGTGTAAAATTTTTATGCAAAAGATTTTTTCAAGCACTAAATCTTGCTATAGCTGACTAAATTTAGTTACACTAAATATTTAGTCGACTAATTTGAGTTAAATAAAAAGTTAGTCGACTAATTTTAGTTAGACTTAAAAGTTAGGTAATTTTAGTTAACTAAAAGATTAGTCGGGTGACTTTAGTTAACTTAAAAGTTAGTCGAGTAATTTTAGTTAACTAGAAAGTTAGTCGGGTAATTTTAGTTACGCTAAAAATTTAGTTAAGTTTTTTTAGTTAGATTAAAACTAACCTTAACTCCCACCCCTAATAAATTAGTAGTAACATATATAAACAAGTGTTTTATGAATGTATAAATGAACGAATAAAACAAATGCTTTCATGAATTGGAAATATCATTACCATGCCTCAGGCGAATAAATCATTTCAAAAAAAAAAGACTGAATCAAAAACTTTATCATCAGCTTTCAAGCCTTCCTTTAAACCCTTTTTTATCTCCATGTTTAGTTTATTTCTGCCTACCATGTCCATTTCTATCCATTCTCTTTTATCCAATCAATTGAGATCTTTTTATTTCTTATTTGCCTTTTTTTACCAGTTTGCCAGCCTAAATACCCTTTTTAATGGAAAATGTACTTTTCTCTCTCCTCAAAAGTTTTAGTCAATCCACAAAGTGGTTGGCTTTAATTATGGAGACCCTGTTAATAAAAGTTTTAAAATCTCTGCATTTGGGGCTCGTTTTACCAACGAATCTACTTTGGCAAGAATTTTTTCTGCCCATATATTATGAAATGGTGCACTTGCAGCATCATTTCATTTGATGGATTGGCCAAAGGATCAGTTAAATAGGGTGATAACTGGCAGGACATAACTGCAGATGATGACTTGGATATAAGTTAAATGCATAAATAAAGGTTGTCTAACATGCTGCAATTTGTTATCTTTATCGATTCAAGTGTGTTATCTAGCAACAGGTGACCAAATGCATCAGACTGAGTTGTAAGAAATAGATGTCAAACCACATGTACTTGCTGTCTTCAACACACATATGCATGCACATATTTGCACAAACTCTTGTACGCTTTTGGAAAACCCTCTCTTTTACTTTATAGAAGATCCTTTATCATAGATATTATTTCAGACTATTTCCTCTTTTTCTAAATGGTTTACAACTTTACTGTTTTTTATATTCATGTTTTTTACAAAAAAAATATTTATAGTTATTTTCAAAAAGATTTTTAGTTCTGCTGCATTTACCTTATTTTTTAGAAATAATCACATTTTATATATTTTTGTGCATATCAAACCACCTGATTATTTAAATAGTTATAAAAATTAAAATCAGTTCAATAACTTATGCATCACTTGCTACATAGTTTAAAAAAAAAAAAATTAGTTAAAAAATAAAGCACATTGATATTTTTTTTATATAAGTTTGTAAATTAATACAATAACTAAATGATTATATATGTTTCTCTTCTACAATTTAGTGCACAGTTTATTGATACCCTCTCTTTTTTGTTTGATTGTAAGATTGCTTAGCATTAAAATAAAAGCTAAAATTATTGACTTCTAGCGCATCTTTAAATAAAAAGAAAATTTTGTTTGCCCTATTTACATGAATATTTTTATAAGATCACTTTAGTTAGAATGATTTTAATCTAAAACTATTTTTTTGCAGAGAAGCTTAAGCATTTACTGTTAATTAGTGAAACATCTTTTTGCTTGATTGATCCTGTATTAATGTGGTCTCTAGCATTAAGAACACAAAGAATTAACATGGTTATGTCATGTTTGCCTCAATAGGTTCCAATATCTTCATCTTATTACTATGTTGAGAATAAAAATATATTTTTAACTAATAAAATATTTTTTAGGCAGTCTTATTTAGAAAACTTTGATAATATTGCCAATGCTTTCAGAAATGCATCACATTATTACGTGAGTGATTTTTTCCCAAATGTTTTTCATATTTCCTAAAAATTTCTCTTTAATTAGAAATCATAGTTTTTGCTAATTTTTTATAGACTGAAACTTCGCTCAATCAAGAGAAAGCAAGTTGGAAAAGTCTCGTTGATCAAAAAGAAAACATAGGTTACAATTTATTTTTATTTATTTTTGTATATATGTGTGTTTAAATAATTACATATAAAATGATTTATTTGATGTTAGTAATGCAAATTGAATTTGAAAGTTTTTTTTAAGTAAATGTATTTAATGAGTATTTGTGAAACATTTAAATGACTGCTTCAGATAAATTTTACAAACTGCAAACCAGTGATGGTGATGATATAACATATGTGACATTTTGTGACATTCTTTTGGGCGTGTATGCCAGTTTACAGTAAAAACTATTTAATAGGTTCCATAGATATTAATTGTTAACAAGCAAGATTGTTAATTATGTTAAAATTAGATAGTTTGGTAAAGCAAGATTAAATTGTTAAAAAAAGAACAAAATTAGTGTTAATGCATTTACATTTAGTTTGCAACAAGAAAGAATTAAATGAAATTGTATTTAGCAAACTCGATGATATGAAAATCAATTTCGAAGGTAAGTTGATAATCATTGAAATAATCAAAACTTTTGTGAATCACTAATTGTAATAAAAATCTTCTTTTTTTCTTTTTCTTTTCTTATTTAAATTTTTTTATTTTATTAAGAATTACAGTATTGTCATTAATGTTTTTTTTCTCTCAAATGCCCATCATATCTTATTTAATTATATCCTATTTAGGTGAAAGTTTGAAAGTCCCTCTTCCTGAGCATTATGTTTTTTATATATTTATTTATTTTATTATTTATTTTAGTTTAACTTAGATAAATTTTTATGTAAAATAATTTTTAGAACCAATGAATGAAGAAGAATCTCCGAAATCGGTTTGGGAACTTTACTTAGAAAAAAAAGATGCTGTGAGGTATAGTTCCTACTTTTTATGAATTAAAATATTCTTTTTATTAATCAGTTGTTTTTTTTTTTGTTGTTGCTTTTATCAATAAAATTTTGCTAATTTCCTGAACAATTTTGATATTTCCTGACATTGTTCAATGTTTGAATATTGAGCTGTTATTACTATTATTATTTTATTTAATATTTAATTTTCCACAATTACATTGCCTCCTAGAACAACGTTATATTTATATTCACTTTATCAGATTATTGGTGAACAAAAGTTTGTCCACCAATTTCTATGAAAAGTTTATTTTTACCATCAAGACATATAAAAAACAATAAGAGTGTATAGACATTTGATCAAAGTGGAAAGGGAAAAATTATTTAATGAGAAACAAATTTTCAATTTATCAAACCCTGAATACAATTATTTTGTTTATTATTTGAATTACATACAAATTAATTTAATCAGTGAAGCAGTGGAGATATTTTATTCATCTATTAATCTAAGGAGGTTTTTTGGAAAAGAAGATAAAAATCAATAAACTCATTAACTCTACAAAAAAATTACAATGGACACTGCCAAATATGAGTACCCAACACATAACATCTATAGCATTAGAGAAACTACATAAAAATACAGACATCATATTCAAAAGAGTATATAAAGGTGGCAATCTCTGTATTAAAAATAAGGTACAGTTTGACAAAAGAAAATTAACTATCTATTAAAAGATGTTTATACTTATAAACTCCTGCTGTATATTTCAATAGCAAGAACACTAAATGCAAATACTCTGACAAACTACACGACTGTGTGCTATGCCTTTTGATACCTATTTTGTGACCTATTGATTCTATTGAATTTATCATACATTTTATACAATCAGTTGCAGAATCCCTTTCCTTAAGTATCAAAGGGACTACCATTTTCTTCAGATGCTTCAATTGCATTGATTTATCTTTTCCAACTATTTTTTTGTCACAGTAGATGTCACCTCACTCTATACTAATATCCCACACCAAGAAGCCAACAGACACAATAAGCAATAAGAAAGATATTAATTTACTATTTACTAGAGTTTTGCAATTTAGTCAAAAACAACTAGTCAATAAACTCCCATCAATTATGGATGTTGATATATTACCTCTAGTGACTTGCTGTGATATTTAAGAGATATAAATAACATTGTTGTGAAACATTGGCATATTATTAGAGATAACCCCTATTTAAGGGAGATATTCCTACTAAAACCCACATCCACCTATTCCAATACAGCATCGGTTAAAGATATTATAATACATTCGACCCATGAATAATATATACATACAAAAGTTTAGATTTGTTATAAGTTTTATTTATTTGGTGTTACAATATATGTTATTTTTTCAGTTAGTAAAGTTTTAAAAAGTTTTTTTCTTCTATTTATCAATTTACTAGATATAACCAGACAAAGTAAGACAGAAAATTAAAAAAAGGTTCGCTTATGCACATACGTTTTTTTACATACATTAAGCGGTTTTTTGAGCTTTAAAAAAACTGCTCATAAGCTCACTAGCTCTTCTTGAAGCTTTTAAGGAGAGCTTTTATAAATTTATTGCAGTAAAAGTTGCATCATAGTAATTTAAACTCTCCTTTTTAATTACATATTACAAAATATATTTAGATTAGTATGTAGTATTTTAAAAGTTTTTTTTTTAATTAGTTCATCTTTTTTGCTTAATTCTAGATTATAATAAAATAAAATTTAAAATTTCCCATGGAAAGAAAAACTGTCAAGAAATCAAACAACATAATATTGGCCTTAATATTGGAGGTCACTCTAACATTGAAATATCTTGAATTTTAAAGTGTGTTTCGCCATCATGTGTAAGTAGAACTATTGCTAAGTTTAATGAAACTGGTAGTACTGCTGACAAAAAGTGTTGTGGGCGACCAAGAAAGACAAACATCACTGATAATAATTCTATTTATAGAATTACCAGAAAAAATCCTAAATACTCAGCAAAACAGATTGCACAAGAAATAAACCTGACACTTAAAAATCAAATATCAAGGCAAACAGTTAATAGAAGACTAATAGACCGTAAGCTGTGGTGCTATGTTGTTGCCAGAAAACCATTATTAAAACCAACAGACCGTTTAAAACGAATTAAATTTTGCAAAGCGATTTAAAAATGAGTAATTATGAATTAAGAAAAATTATTTTTAGTGATGAATCTAACTACACCATCCTAAATCGTAAGAAAAAAGTACTTGTCCATAGGCACCACAATGAAAAGTATAATAGTCGCTGTGTTGCACCTATACTACAAGGTGGAGGTGGTGCAGTTGGTATTTGGTCCAGGTCTATACATGTTATACAGTGGTCGAATGGACCAACATAGATACATCGACATCCTTGAAAACTATTCAATGCCTACCAAGGACATTTTTTTTGGTAACAAGCCAGAGTGTATGTTTCAACAAGACAATGCTCGATGCCATAAAGCAAAATCTGTAACAGAATGGTTTGAGCAAAACAATATCAATGTACTTCAGTGGCCAGCTAGATTACCTGATCTGAATCCAATTGAAAATGTTTGGATTGTGTTGGACTGAAAACTTACCAAAGAACCAGTAACTTCAGCTGAAAATCTAAGAAAAAATTTAAAAAAAGTTGTTTAGTGACTTGACAGTTGAATATTGTCGTAAACTTCGATTCTATAAGAAGATGATGTTCGTTATGCATAAAAAATAGAGGTGGTCATATTCCTTATTAAAGTTCGAACTAAAAACAACTTCAAACCCAAGTGTGCTAAACTAATGAACATCTTTTTTTTCTTATATATGATTACTTTCTTCTAAAAAATTTTTTTTTTTTTTTTCATTGTTTTCTATATTATTTTTCTCTTAATATGTTCTAAATATCCTTAAAAAAAACTGTGTTTGAAGTAACTAAAAAAATTTTTCTTTTTTCTGTTTTTTATGTTTTAAAGAAAAATATTTTTATTGATTCTGCTGCGTGCTAAACTTTTGAGCACTATTGTGTGTGTGTGTGTGTCTATATATATATATATATATATATATATATATATATATATATATATATATATATATATATATATATATATATATATATATATATATATATTACAAAGTATCGTTGTCTAAGTAAGTCTGTGCGTATCACAATTACGGATGCGTTTCTCCCTTTGAGACTTATCAGGGAGATGATATGATACCAATATTGGTATCTTATATTTTGAGGTTTTTCATAGTTCTGTGTAGAATTGTAGCACTACAAATATCGTTGATCTGCCAAGAAGCTGAGCTGGTATGTTTACACACCTTCGGAATCACATCATCCTGATGATGAGTCCCAAAAGGCCAAATGCGCCCGTGGTAGTGATACGCTTTTGGTTAAACAATAATACTCTGTATTATCAAATACACCAATTTTCTGTACTAGTAGTTACTAGTCACTATGTGAGTGCTTGTATTGTGTTGGTACTTTTTCTAGTGTGTGTATGTATGTATGTGTGTATGTATATATGTATGTATTTATGTATATGTGTGTGTGTGTGTGTGTGTGTGTGTGTGTGTGTGTGTGTGTGTGTGTGTGTGTGTGTGTGTGTGTGTGTGTGTGTGTGTGTGTGTGTGTGTATATATATATATATATATATATATATATATATTAACAATATATTTTTTGTTAAATAATGCTGATAAAAAAAATAAATGATGTTCTTATACAACCTTTTAAATTAATGTAATATAATTTTCTTAATAAATAATAAAATTTATTATTCAAGACACAAGTTTTAGCCAAACTTAGCTTATAAATTCTGATTTCCGAATTCTGAAGGTTGTAAAATATAAATGACATTAATGGGGCAAGATAAAAAGACTTTTGTTATTCTTGTATTATTGTCTTTAAAGCAAGTACTATTGAGGATTTCCACTTGTTCCAATCATATCTTTTATATTAACAATACTGCTAAAAATTTATATTGAGAATAACTAGTGATTAAAATTAATTTGATTTTACTACTTTACTTTTAGAAAATAAACAAAATTGCAAAGAATTATACACGTAATCTTTTTTATATATAGATATTTTTATTATACTTTATCTAAAAATACATAAAAATGGAAAATCATAAATTAAGTTTTGGCAAAATTTGATTAAAATTTCCAAAAAAAAAAGGTTATTTTAATTTACTAGATAGTAAACAAAATTGCAAAGAATTATACACGCCTTAAATGGCAGGTATAATTCTTTGCAATTTTGCAAAGAATTATACCTGCCACTTATGGCGTGTTTAATTCTTTGATTTGTATGAAGGCAGCTGCTTCATACAAATTAAAACTGAAGAGGAGGGAGGGGAATTGTAACTTTTACTCAAAATTGAGGCGGTTGCCTTTGACTTTGAGGGGTTGCCTTTGACTACCTTTTTTATAAACTGGTAAGGTTGTTGTCACACGAATTGCTTATTGAATCTGCACATCTTCATTATTACTTGTATTTGCGTCAAGTTCAGATAAAGATATTACAAGTATTATTCCACTTTTTGTTTTAGGCGCAAAACTCTGTTTCAAAACATAAGTTGCAAATTTTGTTTTTACAAACTTAGGTGATTTAGGACAATCTGTAACTAAATGTTTTTTAGCCCGAGTGGAGTTCTGTGTGAAAAACTTTGCATTGCAGTATGTGCAAACAAGTGCTGTTTTTCCATCATTGCATATTTTTTTTTTTAAATATCCATTTCAGACTTGGTCAAATTTGCGACGCATATTTTAATTGATACTAAAAAACATTTATAATTTAAAAAGAAAGCACAATTTAAAAGATGCAATTAGTCAATTTAGTTATACATACAATTATTGTAAACTTTCTAAGTAACTATCAATGTAAAATTCTAAAAATGCAAACCTAAACTATAGTTTATATGCTATATTATACCAAATTGTTGTTTATAGTAATTATAATTACTATATAATTGTTCATATAAACTTTAATACCTATAAATGAACACACACACACGCACAGACACTGATGCTACGTCATAACAACGACACCATTAATTTATACAATGATTATATAAATTATTAGTGTCGTTGTTTTTACCTTAATTATCGTGATAATAACCTATTAATAATTATTGTTAAACAAGGAAAATAAAGCATAAATGATATAATTATAACTATAGTCATAATAGTATCATTTACGTTTAGTACTAAACAAAAATGGTATAAGGGAAAAGCGCCTATGGATGGCATACCGGTCATATTTTCATAAATATTGGTTATGGCGAAAAAGTGATTAGACCAACATGTCTATGCTGACTTTATATTAGTTTTAATAAAATTACATCCCTTATGCACAAATATTGCTTTCATAATCAAGAAAAATAGATTTTGGGATGTGCTGTTGTATTTTTAATCTCTTTAAATATTTAATATTGTGACTTTAATATTAATTGTACAGAAATAAAATTTTTATGCATAAAATGACAGTTGCTGTTGTGTTATTTGTTGTATAGGGCGGTGTACTAGAAATAGTCGGACGGTGGTATAGTATAGAACGGTGTACTAAAAGTAGTCACAAACCCAATCTTTCTGCATTTATCTAAAAAGAAACAACAGATTCTTTTAAAGAGAAAAAAGTGCATTTTGCTTAGAATTCTGTCATATATTTGTTTTTGATATTCGTCACCTTTGCAACAATAACAAAAAAATTCAAAATCTCCATGTCTTAATTACTTTGAAGAATCCAAATGAATGAGTTGTTTCTTTTACACTTAAAAAACTGTTGTTAAATATAATACTTGCAACAGGAAGAAATGCTCTTCCTGTAAAAGTGCACAGAGATAGTTCATCTGAAAACACTTTTTAAACTCCTTCAACTCTTTCAATTATAGTTTATCCTCTGACCACTAACTCATCAACGTTCTTGGATTATCTTTATTTCTTTATCTTCAATTCGGATTCCAGGTCAATTTTTATTAAGCAATACCTAAAAGTTTTTTATAAAACAGAGGTTCACGGTGGAAAATAAAATTAACTGAGGAAATTGTCAATATAATTCAACTACCTAAATATTTATAAATTCTTTATAAATATAAAGAGCAATTAAGTAAAATTGCTGGTCTCTTTACTGTTAAAAATCGGAAGAACTTTCAGTTATCAGGCATGGCTAACTGTTCGGCTGATAAGTCCCGAGACTAATTAAAAAAACTTTTACGTACAATTTTATTTAAAAAAAAGTTTTATTTTAAAAAAACTTTTAAGATACAATTTTATTTCTCAACATAGTTGCCTTCGAAGGCGATACACCGACTTTTTGATAGTGTGCATCCAAAAATATGGATGCCATAAACCTTGGCTGCCAACTGTTGCATCTTACCACGCTTTGGATTGGGTTCGTAGCGTTCAGTTCACTTAGCTAACTGCTGATTTGAATCTGTAGTGTAGTGATGGAGCTAAGTTTCATCCATTGTTACATCCCAACGCAAAAATTAGTTCTTATTACGGTTGAACAGTTTCAAACACTGCTCAGAATCATCAACTCGTTGTTTTTGATCGATTGTAAGCTTGCGCGGCATCCACTTTGCACAGAGTTTTCGCATGTCTAAATATTTATGCACAATATATCCAACACGCTCTTCCGATTCAGAGTCCCAGCTATCTTGAGCAACTTCACTTTGCGGTCATGTAAAATTATTTTGTTAATTTTTTTATGTTTTCTCACATGACCACATTTGAAATCAGCAAACCATCGACAAATGGTTGTATTCGATAGAGCATAGTCCGATAAACATTCGTCAAGCCAAGTTTTTGTTTGGATGGTATTTTTTATATTATATATGTTTTGTTTAAAGGTTTGGTATTAGGTGAAACACTAATATATGCGCCATTTACATGTCAGTCCCGGGACTTATCTGCCGAACTGTTGTAATGATGCTGGATTTGATGTACCTAATTGTGCTAGCATTTTAAGATATAAGGAATAAAGGAATCCATTGTTCAATTGATTATCTGGTATTTATAGAAAATTAAATCATTTTTTAATATTGTTTTTAACACTAGATTGTTATCAATTCAATTAATACAGGCAGGAGACGGTTGACGAAACCACCAGTTTTTATACGGTTTAAAGATAATTAGTTCATCTTTTCGAAAGAACTGGCTTTAATCTATGGTAAAAAAATAAGTTTGACCTGGAAAATTCATATCATTTTGGCCACGTAGTTCCATTTGCCAAGTATCAATGATGCAGTTTGGAAGATATGCTGAACAATGCAGCGAGGCAATATATGTCAAGTTTATATTAACCTCTAGATAATATAAACTTGACATATGGTCTAGATATAAAAGTAAGGAAGAACATTTAGTGAATAGAGATAAACTTTTAGCAACTGTTAAACATTTTGAGGAAGTAGAATAAAATTATAACGAAATTTTATTTTATTACTTTAAACTTTTAATATAATAAAATAAGATTTTTAAATAATAAAGAAAAACTCATTAAAAACTTTTTTTTAAATTAAAAAACTCATTAAAAACTTTTTTTTAAATTGTTATGTTAGAACCAAATATAATAATAGTCTAGCCGTTCCTCTCACTTTAGGTCAGAGGTAACAACTATAGACTTTTTTACCTGACAATCTAACAGTTGGTTGTCCACGCTCTTATGCGGATCAAAATAGCCCTTATTCCGACTATTATTTCAGCCTTAATATAGCTAACAAAAATTTATAAAAGGCTACATGCCATGGTCAGTTTGATTTTAAAAACAATTAGAAACAATGTGTATGATCTTAAGTGTTAAATTAAACCATAATTTGTTTGAGTGACATAATTTCCATAAATTGTTTGAGTCAAAATGGGGAACAGCTTACATGTAAGCTTTAAATATTTATTTTTTAATATTTTTGCTAGGTCTACTTTTGAATTACATATCGAAAGAAAAAAGTCTATATTGGATAAGTTAACAGAAGAAGTTAAAACCAAATTAAAAAAGTAAGTGATATTTGTTTTTACTGTTGTAAAAAAATAATTTTTTTATTTATTTATTATTTATATTTTAGTATACAAGATCTGGAGGCTGAATTAGAATTACTGAAAAATTCATCAACAGTATAATTTGCATTGAACGCAAATTGAAAAAAAATCATTTTAATTTTATTTCGAAATAAAGCCTTATAATTATTATTTAAAATTGTGTTAAAAATATAGCTGTAATTAAATTGTTTAATCGGTATATAGAGTAACCTGGGGCAAAGCGAGACACTTTCAGGGAGAATGTTCATAACTTGAGAAGTATCACGTTTCACAACAAGAAATTTTGAAGGCCACTAGCACATTATGTGTTTAACGACCTCATAAATATTTGTGGTGATAGGTTGTTGCATTGGTACATAATTAAACTTAAAATGGCAACAACTACCCTGTCTCACTTTCCCAAAAACCTTGGGCAAAGTGAGACAGATTTCATTTGAAAAAAAAACTAAGTAAAAATGTAATTTTCAATAAAAATTAAAGCAGACTTTGATAAATTCGATCTAATTAAATATAAGAACCCAAATAAAAGCACAAAGGTATCATTTTATAATGTAATTTATCCTTTTAAATCAAAAAGCATGATAAAAAATAACAAAAAATAAAAATAAAAAATAATATCAATCAAAAAAAATGCATATGCAAAGTTTTATGTTAGTCAACAAATTTGAATAAAATCTTTACACTTAAAAAGCAAACATCGTTTAATGTACAGTCTTCGTGTACCGAAACAGTACATTCTCAACAAGCTATCAAGTCGATCAAGTCAAACTGGATAAAGCCATTCCTCTTAATAGTGTACATCTTTTTCAATCAAGCATTTTATTAATTTTCTTTTCTTTTTGTTCTTTTTTATATTTCCCTTACTTAATTTATTGTCATTGTTCTTTTCTAGTAACTTTTTTTTCTTATTGTTCTTTTTCTTTTTTTTTTCCTCTTCTTTTTGTTTTATTGTTCTTTACATAAAATGATGATAGCAAGTTAAATTTGCCAAGTTTATAAACTTGCTATCGTAAACGTTTACATTGACGATTTATTAAGTTTGTAAACTTGCTTTCCTTAACGTTTACTTTGACGATCTTTTTCAGTAACTAGCGTTGTCGCACTTTCCCCGTAAATGTAAAGTTATCTATTTCTTAAATATCTTTGAAACAAAATAATCTGACATAAAAAGAAGAATGGGAGATGAAAGATAACTAATAAATAATTACAAAATTTAATAATATGTTTGTTCTGTGGTAAAAAATAGCAGCGTACGTGGATTTTTTTCACAAAAAAAAAAATTAATTTTGATTTTTTAATTAAATTGACGCAACTCGTAAGCTTTAAATCCACTTTTCTATGTCATCAGGAAAAAACTGATGGAAATTACTTTAAAACATTAAAAAAAACATGAAACTTTTAATATAATAATCCTAAATTACTGTAGCATTTCAAATAAAATCTGTACAATGCTAGAAAGCCCAAATGTCTCACTTTGTCCCGGTGTCTCGCTTTGCCCCAGCTTACCCTATATATATATATATATATATATATATATATATATATATATATATATATATATATATATATATATATAAAAGTAATCGGATAATAAATAATAAAATACTAACGAATTTAAGTGATAACTTGGAGTAGGTAAGCTAAATCACAATTATCAAGGGTGGTTGATTTCGCACACTTTCAAAAATTAAACTTGCTTTACCTTTGAATAGTTCAAAAATCTTTTCTAATATTGAAAAAAATCATCCGTTTTTCAAATTAATCCAAATTTTTTACGATTCTTAATAAAATTTAAACGAAAATGTAAAAACTTTACATAAATTGTTTATTGCATTAAGTTATGTTATTCAATACACCATATATAAAACTAATGGTTCAGCTTATATTTAAAAAATTTAGTTACTTAAGTACCATCAAAACAAAAGTATTTATTTATATTTAGCAATATGTAGCGTAATATTTAGTGTTATAATTTGTGAAAATATCTCAAAAGAGGAAAAATCCCGTCAATAAATATTCTACTGAAAAACTTACATTTGAATCGGTGAAAAGAAGAACATTACAATATTTTCATTTCGAGATCAATGTTTAAGGATTGTTCTTCGACTAGTTTAAATCTACTTTACGGCAAAAAATAATGAAAGAAAGATAGACTAATATTATTTTTGTATTACATAGAGACATAAGTTAAATGAAATTATGAAAAAAAGTGCAAATAACAAAAAAAAGATACTAAGAAATACTCTTAAAGAAAATGCTTTAGAATTCAGTGATAATACAATATATAAAAGATTTAGATTTAAAAAAACGACTGTTAGATCTATTAACTGAACAAAGACAATGTTACCAAGTTTACCTAGTTTTCTCAAGAAACAAATTTGTTTCAAAATTTGTTTCTTGAGAAACTCCCCCCCCCCCCTCCTCCACACTCACACCCTATTTTTCTGAAGGTCTTTTTTTTGTTTAAGAAAATTCTAGATATAGACAATTTTTTTTTCGAAATTAATGACTGTGCCCATCCACTTTGAAAACCTTGTCGTCAGCCATGGAAAGTCATTTCATTTTTTAAAAGTTTTTAACTTTAACTGTTTGAGTTAAATTATGATTGTTCAAACCATGCTTGCAAACTTGTTAATATACTATACGTATATTAACAAGTACAAGTTAAGTAACCTTTTACTATGAACAGACAAAAAAAAAATTTATGTAACTTCGATTTCGCAAAATAAAAGTAATAATAATGTCTCCACAGGGTAAACTATTGAATAATTTATTTATTTTGAGCCTCCGATGAGTTATTTAGTTGTTTAATTTTTCTTTAGAGTTGTTTATTAAAATTTTTTTACTACCATAAACTTTATCTACTAGTATTGTTCTTCTAGTATTGTTCTAGTACTAGTATTGTTCTTCTTTTCACTGAATCATTTATATATTGCCAATACAAAGTGCATACTAAAGCTGTAAAGCAAATAAATATTTTTATAGGGTAACGCTTTTTTAAAGAAGTTAAAACTTGTTTTTTTTTTTGTTAAAAATCAACTTTCTCATAGTGTCGCACTTAATTCCTAAGTTTTTAATGTTTTGGAACTCTAATGCCACAGTAAGTTATATCTACTGGAGTTGTTGTAAATTACCTTCATATATTTTCTTTTTATGTGATTGTTAACACGATCAAAAAATATCAAGTTGAGCTAAGAGATACTAAAAAATACTCTTAAAGAAAATGCTTTAGAATTCAGTGATAATACAATATATAAAAGATTTAGATTTAAAAAAACGACTGTTAGATCTATTAACTGAACAAAGACAATGTTACCAAGTTTACTAGTTTTCTCAAGAAACAAATTTGTTTCAAAATTTGTTTCTTGAGAAACTCCCCCCCCCCCCCCCCTCCACACACACACTCACACCCTATTTTTCTGAAGGTCTTTTTTTTGTTTAAGAAAATTCTAGATATAGACAATTTTTTTTTCGAAATTGATGACTGTGCCCATCCACTTTGAAAACCTTCTCGTCAGCCATGGAAAGTCATTTCATTTTTTAAAAGTTTTTAACTTTAACTGTTTGAGTTAAATTATGATTGTTCAAACCATGCTTGCAAACTTGTTAATATACTATAAGTATATTAACAAGTAACAAGTACAAGTAACCTTTTACTATGATGGGCTAACAGACAAAAAAAAAAATTATGTAACTTTGATTTCGCGAAATAAAAGTAATAATAATGTCTCCACAAGGTAAACTATTGAATAATTTATTTATTTTGAGCCTCCGATGAGTTATTTAGTTGTTTAATTTTTCTTTAGAATTGTTTATTAAAATTTTTTTACTACCATAAACTTTATCTAACCTGTCGCTTCGTTTAAAACATTTTACAAATTACAAATGTTTTGTTTCTTTTAGGTACGGTCTTAAAAATCAGAAATTAAATTTTTGCAACATTAAAAATCTTAAATAGAAATTTTTAATAATAATAGAAATTAGCACGTGTGATTTATTATCAAAAAAATCAATTAAACGAGAGCCAAGCAAATTAAAATTACCAAAAACTTTTATTCTTTTCATCTTTATACTTTTTTAGCTTCCAATTACTTCACTTACCAACCGGATTTTTAAGACGTTATTGTCTCTTATAGATTCATTTGTTTATTTAACTTAAAAACTTTTAGTATGCTAAAACTGCGTTTACCAGAACAGACAGTCAATCTCTAAGACATAGTTCCAAAAAAAAAAAAATTTAATGACATTTTTAAGCTTTGCCCGTACATTTCAATGGAGTTTGAACAATTTTACACTGGTATTTATACGTGGCCCACAACTGAAAATGATTAGTGAGAAAAACTCCTGGGAAAAAGACAGTGTTTTAATATAAATACTTAGATACTCGCATTACGCGTGTGAACATTGTGCAATTAATAAAAATGATAGTTATAAAAAGCACAAATGTTTGGCTTTTGTACTACTTCATGCTCAAATGGAGTACCTAAAAAAAAGATATTTTAAATTTTTTTTAATTTTTATTTTAGTATAACCAGACCCGTCTTTGGGTCATGCGGCCCCTTAGCAAAATAACGGTTGTGGCCTCTTCAGCCTCCCCCTCCCCAAACTCACACAATAAAATCCATACGTAAACTTAGAAATGTAGATACAAGTTTATTTGGTTATTGGTACCAATATCAGTTGAAATGGAAACGAAGCTCTTGAAATGCAGACATTTATTTGCAAAATAAGTTCTCGCATCTTTAAAAGCTCTAGTGCGTGCGATGTGATTGCAACAAAATTCATATTTGGAAAATGAATAAAAAAACCGAAACGAGAGACAAATAGAGCGTAAGCTTACTTTTACTATTTCAGTAATGTTTAATGTCTCAAGAAACGTCAATCTATCATGTTCGCTTTTTTTCGTTTCTGGTCAGCAGAATACTTGCCAGTGCCCACCAATATTATAGCTTCTTTTTCAAGTTTGTTAAAACTTGATCTGACTTCTTGAACAAAAATAGACAGAGTCATATAGTTTGTTCACCACTCTTAATTCAATTATCAAAATCAAATCAAAATCAAATTCACTCTTAATTCACCACTCTTAATTTCAACAACTTGAAGCATTTTTTTTTACTTTGTTGAACTTTTCCATAATTGTGGTCCAGATGACTATGT